CTTATGCAAGAATATTTTGCAAGTGATTTGCAAGTATTTGCGGCCTATTTTGAATTTGCAAGTCCAAACATCTACCGTGAATCAAAACTGTGTTGGGCCAACTTCACGTAGCCCACCTACTTTGACCCAGAACTGAAATTGATATCAAACGAAAGCTAACGATTAGCAGCATTGTAAGCCCGTTTTAGAATTTGCAACACGGTTGACGGCCATATATTTAAATTGTGAAATTGGCCCACCCATTTGACCTAGAACTTTGAAATCAATATCAAACAAAGCTAATGATTAGCAAGAATTGCAAGTCCGTTTTAGAATTTGCAAGTTACTCGGACGTCCAGTAAGAGCTTTCAAAGTTTTGAAGTTAGCCCACCCAAGTCATCTCAGAACTTCCAAACAGGTATCAAATGAAAGCTAACGATTAGCAAGAATTTGCAAGTCTGTTTTAGAATTTGCAAATCACTCGGTGACGGCTATACATTTTTAAAATTGTGAAATTGGCCCACCCATTTTGACCTAGAACTTGAAATCGATATCAAACAAAAGCTATGATTAGCAAGAATTGCAAGTCCGTTTTTAGAATTTGCAAGTTACTCGGGCGTCCAGTAAGAGCTTTCAAAGTTTTGAAGTTAGCCCACCCAAGTTGTCACAGAACTTTCAAAGAAGTATCAAACGAGAGCTCACGATTAGCAAGTATTTAAATTCTTCATAACATTTGCAAGTCATTTAGGTGATCGTTATGAAGCGGCTACAATTTTTGAAGTAGTGCGGCGTGATGTTTTGGCCTGAAATTGAAGTGATTAAACGAGCTAATGATTATAAGAAATATTTGTATGTCACTATGGCAGCAACCACCGCTTTCATTAAAAAGTCTGAACAAGAAAATACTAATTTGAAAATAAATATAAAGGAAAATAAATCTAAATCAGCAGCTTTTGAAAAGTCTGTATATAACATCAACCTGAGATCCAGATGGTAAGGCATCAAATGATTATTTTTAGATATAATTGATTCAAACATTTTATGGCGTCTAATAAAAGCAAACAGATGTCAGATGGAGCTGATAATTTGTAGGTAGGTATATCAGTCGCATCTTGGTTACTAATGGTTATTATTCTTAAGTTTGTACAATTATATATCATCATCAAATAACAATTAATACAATATACAAATAAACATATTATAAATATAAATATATATTTTGTCGTCGATGGACGTTGGCTGGCTAGTGGCATAGGCATTATAAACACTGTGTTCAGGACTCAATAGAAAATTGTAGACTATGATTTTGATTTGATTTTGCTCTTAATGCCTATTTTTAAAGCGAGAACACAGAGAAAACACCTTTTCTCCCACTTAGAAGGTTTAGCAATACGTAACTGAACGAACTAATCATAGGATGTACTGCTAAGACAAAACACCATGTTTTTAATTACAAATTTTATATATAATATGTCATTTAAGAAGGTTCTATGAAGTAAATCAATTTTTTTTTCAAAAAATAATGTAAAAAAATTCAGATGAAATTAATTTTTCTATAAATTTTTAAAATACCTAAATGGCTACATGTATAGTTTGAGTTCGACAAAATTAATTTAGTAAGATCATATGTAATATAAGACCAATTTTTTTTAAAATATGATTCACAGTATAATACCTAATAATTAGGCATAATTAAAATTTCTGAAAATTAGAATGTAAATAAATACATTATAATAATAAACCTATAAAAAGACACAATGGAATGAGCTCGTACGGTTGATCACAATGTTTATAATTATATTTGTATTTGTAGACTTTTCGGAAATTATTAATTATTTTAAAAACAAAACTCACTCTGTCTGATGAAATCAGTTTAATATTTATACTCTATTGTATATGGTTGTCTTGTGGTGGAACGATTCTTATAGTTTAGACCCCACATTTATATAAGCTATTTTTGAAAATATATTACCAATAATAAAACAACAAAAGCATACATAATAAATATTCAAATTATTGTATTCATTATATCGCGATTAATTTTAACGAAGTAAAATATTTTCAATTTTATTATTCCAAAAATCTTTTACTCAATGGTCGACGACAACATCGTGAGATATTACGTATTGTTCACTATCCGTACCTCATATATTATTTAACGAATAACAATTTTCTGCACCATGATCATAAGTTTTTTGTTACACGCAATCGCAGGCACTTACAGGAGAAAAGCCAAGAGGGACTTGGAAGCTGTGACATCCGGCTCTGCGCCCTTGGACGTACTCAAGGCCCAGGAGATGATACTGAAAGAAATGGGTCCAGACGCGTGTGTCTATGAGAAAGTGTGTTCCGCGTACGCCGAAGCAGCTGCGCTTGCCAAAAAAGATCGCCGCAGTGGTAAAACCGGAGTAGACAGAATGGACTGGGAAAAAATTATCAGGTATGTGATTGCTGATTAGACACGTCATAAATGCAATACTCCCCTTCCCACAATAACAAAAAACATGTCAAACACCTTGATGAATATACGGTCGTAAAATAAATAAATATTTGGTAGACGAATTTGTTTACATAGGTAAACAAGAGACATGCAGTAATATTCATTGAGAAGTCAGCTTTCAATTGTCGGGATTAAGGGCAATCAATCAAAACTATATTTTATTTATTTTAAAAATAAAAATATGATTTTTTTTCTTTATTTTTATTTAAACAATACTATTTTATATTTTAAAATTTTGATTTTATGGGTAATTTTTAAAAATGTTGAATTTACTCTCCGTATATTAAACGTATATAATTTGTTTTCAGAGTATTTAATTTACAGACCTAAATTTTGTTATTGTGTAGTATTTATATTTTATTTCTTACTTTAAAAACTAAATTTTGATTATAATATCATAAATAAAAAAATAAAAAGTTAAACTCAAGTCTATTTCAAATTTAAAAAGTAGAGCTTTTCACATTTTAATAATTGCAAATAATAGTGGTTATTTATTTTTTATTTATTTATTTATTTGTTTATTTTTTTTTTTTTTTTTGTTATAATATTAAATTTTAAGTTCATCATAATATAAATGCAATTATGTTACGATGACGGTTTAAAATAAAGGTGGAGGTGAGGTTCACACAAGTTTATAGACCGATTAAGACTCTGAATACTCTAAACACAATTTCTGACCCTGCTTATGTTTTCTTGTGAAACCCCTTGACATCGTCCTTTTCCCTTCACCAGAGTTGCATACAAAAATAAACTAAAAATAATCTATTAGTACGTACTACGAATGCTAAGTACTTGTAGAGTTATCAATTTAACAATAATTTTCTTAGATATTAGTTACCTACCTATTTCTAAAAAGAAAAGAACATTTATATTTATATATATATATATAAATGTTTTTTTTTGTATAAAGATTTAGATTTTTAATTTTTTTATATCCCAATGATTTTTTTTTTAATTTGCCATTATAAAAATTAATAATAATTTTTAATGTTATTTTTTATAGCGGATACATGGAAACCGGATCAGCCAAAAAGAAATACTACATGTTGAGTGTGTTTCTGGGTGATGTGCTAGGTTCACCCGAGTTCTGTTCAAGAATCGCACGGAAAATCAACCGGTGCGATGCAAAAAAAAATTATCACCATTGATACTGCCCATAATATACAAATAATAATATTGTGTTATATTTTTTTTAAACTATATTTATTGAACATTATAATATGTAATTATAAAACTACGTGCACGCGCATAGTGTCGTCGTCGTATTATTACTATTATTATTATAATCGTCGTGTATTTCAATTCGTTTGAAATCTTGTCTAATACTTTTACAACCAAATCTGAAACTTAATATTATACTTAAACTATCGAACTGGCACCATTGTCCTAATGTGTAAATAATCAAAATGCTTTGTAGATTTATGTAGATAGAATAAATAAAAAATATATTATAATGACCAGACGTACTTAATTATTTTTTCCGTTTACAAATTGTATTTTTATGTGTTTTCTGGGTCAAAATTCAAAAACTAGAAACAAAAAAAAAACCGTTATAATTAAAGATAAATTGTAACGATGGACAAAACACTAAAGAATAGAAAAATGTCAACGTGTGTTTAAATGCATCTTCGTATTCGAAATAGGTAACTAATAATGATATATATTTTATATTAACATGACGACGACGTACGATACATGAAAATTTAAAAAATAATCGACTAGGAAAATTAATTTTTCATAGTCGCTTCAAATAAATAATTTTAATTATTTGAATAAAATATAAGTGGTCGTAAAATGCGGTTTTAAATTACCAAGACGCTAATGTTTGCTAAACCGTTTACAGTTTACCTGTTATTTATTTATTTACCAATTACCAGTAGACTTTTGTGATACAGTCAGTTTCCTGTCTAAGTACTAACGGACGAGCGTCACCAACTAAACATTGATCAGAAGATCGTAATGATTTTAGTCCAGCGGTTCCCAACCTTTTTAATTTTGGCGACCATTAATTTTGTAAGAAAATATTTGAGGCCCATCCATAGCATACGTATCTATATACGTTTTCATAAAATTATAATATATAACATAACATATGTCACATATTATATATATATATATATAGAAAGTTATTAGGAATAAAAAATTTAAAAAAAAACAATTGTTTATTAAAAAAAAAACTTAATTCAACTTTATCACAAGATAAACAATTTAATGTGATTTTTGACATTGCTTGTTCTTCACGAGAAAGTCAATATGTGAATTAAAACTCGTTACTTGTACACTTATTGCACACTATAGTTAAAATTGATTAAATATTATTATGATCAGAAATATAACGAAAAATATATAATAATATTATTTTAAATATATATAATGTTTAATATTATACCTATGGCTCGCGGCCCATGGGTTGGGAACCGCTGTTTCAGTCCACGACTTTCCTTATAAGATACCAACATTACTTTTTCGTACAAACATTGAATTGCGACTATCATGAAACAGTCAGCTCGTGACTTATTCATTATTATTAAATCCTAACGCGAACAAATAAAATATTATTTAATTATCGGTTCGTATATTAATGTGTATATTACCATCACTATTAATTATTATTATTATTATTATTATTATTATTATTATTATTCTGCAGTTATTGCATTGCAAGTTCAGTCGCAGTCGTAGATCGTAATTATATTATTATACGACTGCAATCATTGCCAAAATTAGGGAGATTAGGTTGTTTTTATATTTTGAGAGCACCGCTACTAATTTTTTTCATTAGAATTGGAAGACGACGACATGTAATTTATTTTATCACACATTATTTTTGTGATTTTTATTTCGCAAAGTTTTATTCGAATATTATAAGATAGTAAAACATAATTTTATGAATTATGTAACTCATTATTGTAATACTATCTACTGCGTATGAAAGATGGTTTAAAAAAATACTAAACTGTAAATGACTGTTGTTCAAAAATATTTCTTTTGACCACTCACAAGTAGCCGTTATTTTACTAGTAATCGATTAGCATATCTACTCGTATAATATATGTATTCAAATTAATTTTCTAAGGTTTTAAGGTATTGGGACTCCACAATAGTTAGGTTGAGTTCGATAATTTAAATGAACGGTTACGTTTTTCAAGAGCCATCTCTCTTTTATTTTTCCCGATTCCGAGCACTGAATACAATATTAAAACACTAGTACGTATCTATGTGTGTATACATTTATATGTAGCAGTTTAAAGTGTAACTACCGCCAACGATGTCATCGTCAAGTTATCGTATCCTATAATAATGATCGTCGAGATCTACACATACAAAACTGACGACGCACGTGCGCCGTGTCGCTCACAAGTGCATGATTTATGCCATGGTTTACCGAAACAAACTCGATAAAAAAAAATCAACAAAAAAATCATAATAATATATCATATTGTTAATTATCATTAATAACATACACTGTATCGGAAATATTATTATATCATAAATCATAATATGCCTCTAATATTAGATTGACGTCCGCCTAGCACTGGCGACAGTGTCGGCGAGATTTACAGAAACAATACAACACACATTATATTATTATGTTTAATTAGTAAGATCAAAGACTTCAGGCGTCGATATAAATGAATTATGTATATTAAATACTTACAAACTCCAAATAAAACTATAGTAATAATAATTATAATTATAATAATCATAACCCCCTAAAAACGTCGTTTGTCGTACGAGAGAGCATAATTATTAATATAATATAAAAATACATACGTATATTGTAGCGTGCATATAGCCTGTATTTAGGTATACCGCATTATGCAGACGTCGTACAATGACCCGGCACGTTAGAACAGTTCCGAGCGGACTTCTCGACTATACGTTATGACCGACGCCAGTTTAATATCCGAGATCACTCGACAACCGCGAAGCATCCTTACGGTTTATGAATTATTATCAACTGGTAAAAATATTCACTTTATTCTGGTGACTATAGTAAATATATTGTGTACGGTATGAGTGAAGAATAACAATTGACAAGTTTTAAATTACTGCAAGCGCACGGACGGTTTCAAAATAATATTTCTAAAGTTCTAAACAATATTATTATAATATATATATATATATATATATATATATATATATATATATTATAATAATTATATATATATATAATGTTATCAAAGGTGCTTATCAAACTCATTAGTTAAAAAGTTTATATTTAATTTTTTTAAATTTGCTACTTAAACTATTGTAATGATTATCCATTTATAGTCATCACGATTCACGCTTTTATTTTTTCCTGTTGTCGATTTTAAAACAATTAAGTGTTAAATTAATTAATAACATGTATTTACTCGTTATATCTATTGTTTGAAGTTAAAACAAATTCATCATCTATTTTTTTTATTTTATTTTATTTTTTTTTTTTTGTTTACTCCCTCAGGGGAGATGGGTATTACTAATGTCGTGAACAATTATATTTTATAAAGTTTAAACTCTACTAACATAATAATATTAGGTTTAACTAATTTGATTTTAACAATACCCTAGAGTTGAAGGCGATAAGCTTATATATTTACTCAATCTAATATTTTCGTAATAGGAATTATAATATACTTAATTTGGTGTGTTTGTTATTTCAAGCCAAATGTTTCTGCATTCGAGAGGGAATCGAATAAATAAAAATAATATCTTAAAATGACACATCTTCAAGACTAGGAACGTCAAGTGGAACATATATATTAAGAAAATTTAAGTTGACTAACTTTTAAACACCAATTATTGTAAACGACGGACACGAGCTCAAGGCCATGATCATGACACAGAAGATTTTAAGAAATCGTACTTTTACCCATATGGGTAATATAAGTTGCTGACAATTCGACGAAATCTGTAACGTAACGAAATACTATTTCGCACAATTATTATAAAGTATGTATAAATAACCAAGCAAGTCGGATACTTTATATTATAAATCGATCTTTGGTTATAATAAGTGACAGTAGTGACACTGTAGCAACAAACGATTTCCTAAGTATTTTCTTATCTTCTTATCATATAACTTATATATCGTCTTTGGTGCACATTACTATAAAATCATCAAATAGCGAACCTCGTCGCCGCGGGGCTCATCGAGTAGTTCTTTTAATTACATATTATATTTACGTTTAATTCACAAGACCTTTTCGTGCCGCCAGCGAGGAACTCGGAAAATCCCATTACGGAATTGTCGCCACGGTGAAGATAATGCTATGCAGAACGGCAGAAGGAAAGTTATATTCACGCGAATGATTAATCGCGATGTCTGTGGTTGTGTGCATAGGTAAACCGAGAAACCGGAAACTGTGCAAGTATACGCACACTGATGTAAGACGTGCAGCAGGGACGACGGCGACGACGATAAACGGAGAGGGGAAATTAATTAAGTCTTTGTCTGTCCAAAAAATACACCGCGTGCAATCCACCGCCGCCGCCAGAGACCACCTCCGCCACCGCACGTTTCCGCCGCTCGGTGGATAATTTTCTCTCCGCCATCGACCGATGATTAATGCGTTTACCCGTTCGTTTGACAATGAACACACATACACTCGCGGGCGCACACGTACATTTAATAATAATAATAATAATATAACCTCTTGACAGTTAATTTCGGTTGACGAACGCGCTACAGCAGTGTGTGTGCGTACAGGTCTCCCGACGATATTTCGAATAGCAATTAGCTTTCGCGCGTCACCAACCCCCGTGGGGCGCAGTTTCTACTACAGTCGCGTCGTTAACATTCTTATTTTTTTTTTACTCCTTCAGCTCCTCTTACCCTTCAAATATTAACATGTATGCCATACGCGTGACACTTATACAATATATGTAATGTGTATGCACTCACGCCCGTTTATGCGACTTAAGTTTTGACGATGTAGGGGTAAGCGCGTCGTAGTATTTTCGGAATCCGGAAAACTATAATAATTATCACGACAAACAAAATAGATTATGATGATGGCGGTGCAGGAAAAGGACATGAAGTCAGTTATAAGCCATGACATCCTCCTCACATACCAGAGCATACGGTATGGCCCGGATCCTGGTTCTCGAACTTTTAACTTAAATTTAGGACTTAAACAGTGGCGGCGCGTTAGGGTAGACAATGAGACATAGTCTACCCAAAAATCCCAAAAATATAAAACAATTTAATTAAAAAAATTAGTTATTTATTATATGATACTATACCTACTATATAAGTATTTTATTTGTTCATAATTTTATAAATAAAATGTTATTTACACTGATTCGTCTCTACAATGTCTGTGTGAGTAACGACTAACGAGTATGACTAAATAATAAATATATATAGTATAATTTTATTTATATCTTATCAATAATTATGTAATCGCTCCGTTGTCGCCGTCAAATCGGTCGAGACATATTGAATTGTGTCTCACTATTGATGACGAGGG